CCTGCCTGCCTGCCTGCCTGCCTGCTTGCCTGTAGGTGGAAACCTCCTGTGAGGTAACTGGGTTTTGTGTGTGGTTGTTTGTATAAGTTTGGTTGTTTCGATTTTGTTTGTTTGTTTGGTTTTTGTTCCGGAATCAGCCTGTCTTCACAGAGTGAGCCTGGCATCTATGAGCTGAAATGAACAACTCTTTTTATTTTATTTTTCCTCTGCTCACTTCTTTATACTTTGTCATGCATTAGAGGGCCACGAAGATACTAAGGGAGTTGGAGCACCTTTCCTATGAAGACAGGCTGAGAGAGTTGTGCTTGTTCAGCCTGTAGAAGAAAAGGCTTAGGGGAGACCTTAGAAGATCATACCGGTACCTACATGGGGCTGGAGAGGGACGTTTTACAGGGGCATGTAGTGATAGGACAAGGGGGAATGGCTTCAAGCAGTCAGAGGAGAGATTTAGATTAGATGTAAGAAAGAAGCTCTTTACTGTGAGAGTGGTGAGGTACTGGCACGGGTTGCCCGAAGAAGCTGTGGCTGCCCTGTTCCTGGCAGTGCTAAAGGGGCTTGGAGCAACCTGATCTAGTGGAAAGTGTCCCTGCCCATGGCAGGGGGTTGGAACTGAATGATCTTTAAGGTCCCTTCTGACCCAAACCATTCTGTTATTCTGTGTTACAGGTCTGTGTACATGACTCAGTTTATCCTCTTTCTTGTACTGAAATAAGAAGTTGTATTCACTCGGTCCGTCTGAAAAATACCAGTGTATGTCACATACTCAAATATCTAATTTCTGAAATTCACACAGTGTTTGCAGAGAACCATGCTTTTCTGTTGTTTAAACTCAGATTTTAATTGGAACAGGGAATGTGATTGTTTGGATTTGGGAACTCCCACTGTTTACAACTGCTGAATATAAAAAGCTTTTGGCTGCTTTATTTGATATGTTCAAGATTTCTTTAAAATACTGTCATTCTTCCGTTGATGCAAACTTCCAGTCCCATGTTTTTAAGAAAATAGTGATAATAAAAAGAGCTAGGAAATTTCCTTTGTTGTGTGACTACTTTTAAGATTTTAGCTATTTAAAGTTTGACAGTAAGCACATTTGAATACTTTGGTTAGCTTGATAATATAAATGTATATTTGTACATTTATTAAAAAGTGCATACTTGAGTAGCAGGCTAGTCTATACTGGAAAGATCTTTGAATGTTGAATTGCTAGAAAGGATTTGAAACTTGTCTAATCTACATCTGAAATATTACTGTGATTGTGTCGCTTTATTATAAAACTGATAGTTTGGAAGGTTATTTTGGTGGTGGTGGTTTTTTTTCTTTCCAATTTTAGGGCTCAGTGGATATTAAAAGGGGGAGCTTGGATAAAACATCAAGGCCTGCATCTAGCTCAAGTGCTCATCCTAATTGTAGATCTTTAAATACATCTATGGAGTTACCAACAGCAGAGCTACATTTGCCTGAGGTAAGTCTTTTCACCTTCATTAGGTTAGAAACCTTCTGCCTAATTCTTACTAGAATGCCAAAAGAGTAAGATTCTGCTTCTTTAGCTTCATATAGAGTCCTGGGCACTGCAGGTGTGCTAAGGGGTTATGTGAAGGCTTATGAATGTGGGTTGCTCCTTGTGCATGCATGGAATGATGTTTAATTTCATTTTTCAGAATCTGTGTTACTTTTATATTTGCTACAAAAAGGGCTATTCAGCACTACAACATGGAAAAGTGGCTTGTCTTCCTCTTTATATTTAATCAGATTATTAAATACTATTTTAAAGAAAATCTGGCAATAATGTGTAGATACACAGCTATAGGCTGTTGATGCGTGAGCCATGATGTGTATAATTTCACTTCCATCCCATTTGTGGTTTTAAATTTAAGCTGGGATAAAAAATAAATTATTAAAAGAAAGCATTTGAGCAATCCTCACAAATTGAATTTTTTACTATAAAGCGCTCTCAGGATATGTGTGAATCAAATAAAAAAAATAAATTCATAGTGTTCCAAGAAATATGTAAGCTCCAGGGGTTCAACAGAGATCATCAGAATTAAGTGTTCATCTGTCCTCTGAAAAACCTAATATTGGGGGTTAACTTACTTTTGGGAATGGGGTATGTGATATCATTGTTGGGATGTAGGAAGTGGGTCTTGGGAGTTAGAGATTTAGATTTAGTTAAGATTAGTCCAGTTGTATTGTCCGTCTGTTCACCTGTCTGTAGAATGGGATGCTTCACAGAAGTATTAAAATAATTTTTTTTATAGGTTCGCTCTTTGATATTAAGTTAACATCAGGTAACTCTTAATCCAAATTCTGACGTAGGCTACTGCATGAAAATTTCTATCTCTTGAGCCTGATAAATTAAGCATAAGCTTTTCAGCCCTTCGAAGACTATAAACCCCCCCCCATACTATGAGGAAAGATTGGAATGCTATCACCTGGTGCAGTGGACCCATAGTGTCAAGGAATGGACGAGGCTGTTGTACACACAAGCTGTTAACTGGTTGACTCTACCCTGTGCTGCAGCAGAAGTGGCATAAACCTTTGAAATCATTTCCTAGCCTGGCAACCCCAAATCTGGCATTCTGTGGAATGATGAGTTTGAGTATCGATGTGATATCTAAGAAACAGAGCTCTGTATTGTGTCTGAAAATGGTTGTTTCATTTAAGAAGTACATAAATGCAGTTCTCTATAGAATCAGCAAAAATAACAGAAAAAATAAGCTTAAAAATAAAAAATAACTTCCTCAGCCTGACTAGTAGTCAGTGCAGTGTTGTATATAGAATTGTTCTTAGCCTTTGTGATAGTGATTATTATCTTTTTCTCCCCCCCCAAATATTTCTAGTTTTATGATAGCAGTTAATTTGCATTTCATAGATTGATTCACCTGTCAGTTTGCCTGGTAGTCATCAAAGAGGCAGTCTAGAACACTGCTGTCCAGAAGAAAACAAAGGTGATGACAGGGAGAAATCTGGTGTCAAGGAATTAAGAACAGATCAGCAAACCATGGTGGAGAGTACAACCGTCTTTCTTCAGAAATGTATCCTGAATCCCAAGGAGCTGTCAGGTGTGGAATGACTTTCACTTTCTCGTGTTGTGGCTGGACCAAATAGAATGTTTGTATAGTTTGGGTAAAATTCTAGTGGTGGAGGGGAAAGAGGATGCAAATTGGTAAAATTCTAGAAGAGAAAAAGGTATGAAAATTCATACCTTCACTTCTCTTCACTATTTTGAATACATCTTTGAAAGAAATGTGTTATTGCTGCCATTACCCCCACAACATATGTCTTGTGGCATCTAAGCTTGGCAACACCTTGGTGATGGCCTAAAAGATCAGGAGAAACCATCTGCATGTGTTCCGTGGAACTATGTTAGGAGGTATTTTCATTAAAAGTGCTTCAGATGGCGTTCTTTTGGCATTTTATAAATGGTAATAAACTAACTTTCTAGAGCTTCTGCCTCTTTAAAAATAGAAAAGGTCAGTATGTGAAACAAAAGTTTGGATACCTTCTTCAAGTTTAGATAAGATTTCATGACAGAATCTGGATCAAAAGAAATCCCTTGATTCCTGCTCCTGTGTTTAACATGAGTCCTGGTGCAGTAGTAGATAGAATTTTTTAAACAGTAATCCACTGCAGAGGCTTTGTGGATTGCAAAAATGTATTTTGGTGTCTTTATTGTTAACATTTCAAACAGTATTTTTAAAAGTTTTTTCACACGTATTCTATTGTGAAAGGCTTTTTCGTGTCATCTCTTACTCAGATTCTGGAGATGACAGTACTGAAATACAGACTCTAAAATTCTGTGAACCTTCCAAAGGGAAACTAAGTAATGCAAAAGAAGGTATTACTTTTCAGGTGTATAAAGTGAACAGTGCAATAAAACTTCCGCTCCGCTTCCCCATGTTAATGCTTTTCAGAGTTTGGGACCATAGTGTATTTGTGTGTATATTATATAAATAAAAGAAATATAACAAATTGAAAATGTATGTACATTGTGACATTCAAGAGGTGTTGGATGAATTCTTTATTTAAAGATTATTTTATTAAAGGATATTCACTTTCTTTAATGATGTGGTAGTATTTGAGTTTTACATAGATTCAGTCAATCTAATAAGGCAGAATCGAGTGGTGATTCTATCTAGTGCAGCAGCACTGGTGATCTAACATAGTATTAATTTCTTCAGAAAAGAAATTGGATAGAGCTCAACTTCAAAGCTTCACTCAGGACTTTTAGATTCAAATCCATCTGCTGGGTTCAGGATGATTGAAATGAACACATTTTTCAGCTTCTGTCCTTGGGGCTTTCCTGGAGCTCAGTCAGATTTTTATAGCTCTCCTTTGTGTCACTCGTTTCGTTTTATGGCATAAAGTAGACCAGTGCATTACAGTAAATGCTTGGGATCAATGGGTGTGTAAAGCATTTGACCTCAGAAGATTAGAAAATGAAAAAGCACTGCAGGACTCCAAAACATGGAAGCCTGTGGGATCAGGACAGTGCTACAATTGTTTCCTTTACTCTTGCTGTGGAAGCTAAGTTTAACCAGGAAAGAGGGCGGAGCATGAGGATGTTATAGAAAGGGGAAAAGCTAAAAGCGATGAGAAATTGTAATCTGCATGCTTAAGAAAAATAAGGTAGTACAGAAATCTATTTTAATTGAATAATGGCAGTTTCCATAATGTTTCACCATTTCTGTTTTTCAAAACAACAGTTTTCTAGAACCGGTATCAGAATCTGGTTTAGCTGAGATATAACTCAAGACTGAAACTTCTATAACATTTAAAAGTAGACATATTACAGAATCTCTCTTAACCCCAGAATTATTAATTTTAATGAATGACAGTTCATCATGTATTCTACTAGTCTGGCCGAGGAAATTATTTTTGATTTTGAACCTTATTTTTTCTGTGATTTTTGCTGATACTGTGGAGATGTCACTTTTCTATTATAAACTGGAATCAAATCACTTGCTTAAAATGCAGAGGGCTCTGTCTCCCTTCCCCCCCATATCCAGCTGCTAGAGTTCAGAGTGTGATTCAGTGTTTTGTTAGAAAGACTTCTGTATTTTTCCCTGCTAGAAACAGGTTTAGAAACGAGCATGACATATGCTTGAGAATAATTGTCCTCTTGTCTATGGTTGATATCAAATAACTTGTACTGCCTTTTTTTTTTTCTTTTTTTCCTGCCTTTTTTTTAAAGTTGAAATGCTTCAAGCTAAAATTAATTTAAAATACATTCTACAGCAAACTCTTCCAACTTGGAATATTCTGAAGAAATAGATGTAGATCCTCATATTCAAGCAGCTATAAAGAAAATGAATAAATTTGACACAATACTGGCAAAAAGACATTTTAAGGAGAGAGCAATTAAAAAACAAGGCAAAGAAATGAGAGCAAAGCTCTGGGAAGAGCTTCAGGTTAGAATGTTCTGCTTATTTTGTAAATAATTTGTACTTAGTAAAAAGTAAGATAGTTTGGTATCTTAAAGTAGTGTCTAGCAACTATGTTTCATAGACATATTGTTTTATTAAATAACTCACTGTTGTATGCAGAGAGTGAAGAAATAGATCTTAAAAAGTAACTTTGAATAGGTTTTAATATATATTGCCAACAGGCTTTGAAAGAAGGCCATGGTCATTAAAAATTGATATGACCAGTAGCCAAATGCACAGTTGTCTAGGTGCGGTTTACTAGCATAGTCTTATGCTTGAGCTCACTAGCAGGTATGGAAATGTGCGACAGGAGGTAATGTTTGTGAACCCAGATTTAAAAGTGTTTATTCTGCTCTAGTGTGACTTTTATTAGGCCTATCAATTTCAGTATTGTCTATTACTGAAAAAAACCCCGGAGATGGCCACTGAAGAAGGTGTAAGAATGCTACAGCATAAATTCCTTCATATTGTTCCTATCCTGGTCTCTGGCAATTAAATGTCAATTTAAGCCTTGAAACATAAGAGTTAGTATTTCCTCCGTGGTTAAGTATTATATAATTTACATGAATACAAATGTCAGTTGCTAAAAAGGCATAATTGCAGTTGGTTTGACTGCATCTCATAATTTCAATGGGTTTGGATTCAAAGCCATGTATGAGTTACAGAACTTTTGTGTCGAAAAATGTGTCTCCATATAAAAGACAACATATGAGGCTTTAAAATTCTACCATGCTTTTATCATAACTTCAGGAGGTGCTGCGATAGCCTTAAGAAATAAATAAAAGAGTAGCTAAATGTTGCCACAGAACCACAGAACAAGGAATTTTTAATAGGGTCTGAAGTTCGTTAGAGCTGACAATGTGTTTTGCCTTGAAGTATTTACTTCAATGTAAATATATGCATGTATCTGTAAATTTATGTTTTATTTCTTTATTTCTTTTGAATAGTCTATCAAAACCACTGGAAGCCATGAAGAGATAGAAAACACAAAACTTTTTTTAGCTTTGATCTCAACATGGCAGGATACAGCTGGTAAGTAAGTAAGAGAGAGAAGTAAATACCCTGTTATAATTATCCCATATTTTGATTAATATTCTTTTTTTTTCTTTTATACTCTAAAAATAAAGCTTTCAAACCTTTACAATAAAATAATATTTGCTTGAAAGAGTACATCAAGGGAATATTTGAAAACTTAAATGAAATAATTTTTGCATTATCATAAATGTAGACATTGTACTTCAACATCAAGGTTATTTTTTAGTGGAAACTACATATGAAGCTTGATCTTAGATTTTTAAGATTTTTTTTTAATTGACTTTTTTCTGAGAATTTTAGGGGAAAAAAATTTAGGATAGATGTCAGTTTGAAAAAGTGAAGCTATGCTAAAGATATGCTAGGAGAATATTCTCAAGAAGAAAAGACCAGGAAGTCTATTAAGGTAACTTCTGAGTTTCATTATGATGTGACAATAAAGACAAAAATATTCAAAGCGGAAGTGAACACATTGATAAGAATGAACGTTTACATTTTGATCCTTTAGTAAAAATCAGTTCCATCTCAAGTAGCATTTAAATTGTCAAATTTTATAGCTGCATTACAAGTAGACAAATGACTAATGAAGGATTGAGTTCCTTTACTAGAAAGGAAAACAAATAGTTAATGAAACAGAAATGTGGAATGTGATACATAACGAAAAAGGCTGACTACGCTCAAAATTACAGCGAATACCAATAATGTAAAACTATAGATAGAATATGGAAAGAAAAGTTAAGAAACTGTTTAGGCATTTTTTTTTGAGTCTGAAGAACACATTTCTGTTGGAGTTCTGAAGCAAGGGGTTGAAGCATGTTCTGAAGTATTGGTATTTTTTTTCCAAGAATGCTCACAGGGACCTGAAAAAGTAAAATATTGGGTATTTTAAAATATCATTTTTCTTTCTGTGGCTGGACTCTTACTGGGGGAGAAACTGGAACAAACTGTAGACATTCTGTTCACAATGTCTTTGTTGGGCAGGGGGAACAAAATCAGGCTCAATTTGTCAAGAACATAAGATGTCAAAATTGCTAAAGAGTGGTTTTAAAAAAATTGCTGTTCAAATACTCTGTCTTGGTGCTGTAGTTCTCTGAGGTGTGTCAGTCATACACACATTTTACATCCTGTCCTTCACCTGTATACCCTTGTTGAAAGGGTTTCTTGGTGAAAGGAAACAGAATTGTGGCGCATCTTGTCTTTCTTTTTGGGGAGAGAACAAGGGTTTGAGATCTGAATGGGTATTGCTGAGCAAAAATCTCAGATTGAATGTTGGAAATATGTGCATAATAAGGGTAGTAATTTGTGGATAAAACACTTCAACAAAGCTTATTATTACAAGGTAACCTGCTTTTATTTCTATGCTAAAGTTTGGGTTATTAAGGGAAGAACCCAGAATTTGATACGAGTGTTATTTAAGAAGTCTCCAGTAGATGTCAGGATATAGTAAAAAACAGTGAGCAAGCAAGACTATATGGTTGTTAATGAACTCCATGCTCTAATTCCTCTGTCATTTCAAAGGTAACTCCTTCCTGTAGAGATCATGTGCATCATGTGGGTTCCAGTGTACTGTACTGAGAAAACTCTGCTTAGTTCAGATTTATATTTATACTCCAGCTTGATCTTTATCTTGAATTTTCTGTGACATGCTGGTGCCTCACTCTTCAGGTCTTGTTTGTTTATTTATTTATTTAAATGAATGCCCAGATAGCTGCCTTGGCTGTTACTGAAATGGAATGCAATTTATATATTTTGGCTTTCAGAGCCTGAATTTGATAAAGAGCCCTATTAAATAAATTATACAAGGGAGCTGTTTAATTATAGCTTTTAATGTGGCTGTGAAATCAAACACAAGTTCCAGGTACAAAATCATTAATAACTTGTGTCCCAGCCTCTCAGGCACAAAAGCCCCTCTGACACACTCATGGCAGAAATTTAAATCAGGAGTTAATTAAATAGCCTTAAATTAATTTCAGTTGAATCCATTAAACTTTGTTATTGCAGGATGTTGGTTGTTCTTCCCATATGTGATATATATGGTTCTTTGCAATACAAGTCCTTTCTTGTAAGTGCTAAGTGTATAGACTCCAAGTTAATGCTCTATTTTACACTTCCACTTGATATGTGTCAGTATCATGACAGAATTTTTTCTTTGAGTAAGTGAAACAACTGTTGCATGCTAGAATGTTTGAACACTCTTTTTTTCTAGGCTATACCCTTGACCAAAGCCACTTAGAAGTCTAACAATTCATGTACAGGCACACATCAGCTGTGAAAACCTGGATAATTTATTCTCATTCAGAATTCTAGATGATTTGCCACATGGTGTTTGCAGAGGCTTTTGAACCCTAGGGCCTTGGGCTGTACCTTCTAGAATGTAATTTTTTGTCCTATGTGGGCAGTAGTTTAAAAATCCCCATACCAGACATAGAAAACAGTGTAATTATTCACGAGAGACACCTTAGATTCCCACCCCACCCCTTATTTCTTGAGAAATGTGGTGGTTATGTAATTTATCCAAGTACATTTCTTTAACTTTCATATGTGAGATTTTATATTATACTATATGTGAAAATAGATCTTTTTTAAATACATTTCAATTTAAATTTTACTGGAAAAATTCTTTGCAGGTCCCTCCTGTGCCAAAGAAGATGAAAGACCTACTTCAGTATTTCACACACAAATTAATCCAGAAGGTTATGATAGCCATAAACCCCAATGTAATCAGGGTAAGCTATATCACTTATATAGTTCATATATGCTTAGCGGACTGGTGACAGGTTTTGTTGTTGTATTTTTCTGGGGGGGGGGGGGGGGGGGAGGGGGAATGTGGTGTTGTTTTTTGTTTTAGTTTGTTGGAGTTTTTTTCCCCAAATGGTAGAATAATTTTGTTTGGGAATTATCTAAAACATTTTGCACAACATGCAAAGAAAGCTTTTAAATTCAGGTTTATAAAACTTTTTCTTTCATTGCAAAATGATGAGGTGTGGGATTGATTCACTATAGAGTGTATCATTGGTTCTTTAAATTCTTTAAAAACTTGTCTTTGCTGTTATTCTAAGGTACAGTAACCTTTCATTAATAGGCTTATCTTCAAAAAGCAGCATTTCATTAGTAGGCTTATATTCAAGAAACTATCTACTAATTAAGAGTGGTGCTGTATACAGTTTTAACTGTTCTGTAATTTTTTTGTTTCCAGGAGAAATTATATAGATGTTGTGACAAGCCTAAATCTTCAAATGAACTAATTTTGTATTTTTATTACGCTGATTATTATAAAGGCTGCATTGCTTTTATGGATTAGGTACTTTCTGGCAAAGATCAGACATCTGTGCTGGTTCTTCTAGGCATCACTTGTTTACATGCACTGTATAGAGTTTTCAAATACTGGTAGCAGAGTAGTGTGTCCAGCACTTCAAAATGGAATTGTGCTTTTTTGCCTCTGTTCTTTCCCTATTCAAAATTCAAATTTGTATGGTTGAGTAACTTCTCACATGTGTTGTGACATAAGAATAGCTTCAGCTGCCATTCTGTCAGCTGCAATTGTTTATTTGTCATCTACCATTCTATGTGAACAGAAGGAATCTATCTTCCTGGTGACTGGCTAAGATGACAAGGACATAATAAACAGGTGTTCCTCAAGGTTGAACCGTTGATGACAGCAGAATCTTTGTGCTTTTTTTGAATGTGATTGCATGTTTCAATTTTTAAACATGGACTGCAGCTCTCTTACAATTTTGTCACTTAGTCTACCATTATGTGAGTTTTACGTTTGTGTTACTAAATGTTTTTTTCATACTGGGTTGGAGCAGGGCTGTGCTTTTGATATCTCTATCTTCCTACCACATGTCTTAATTCCTCCCTTAAAATGAAGCTTGTCTCTCAGCTTCCACCCTCACAATTTCTGAGTTGTGTTGGAGTGTCCTTGAATAGCAATAACAGGATTCATTACCAGTATTCGGAACAGCAGTGACTTCTGAAACCCATTGTGTCCATAGTGTGTCAAAGGATGCATGGAATTTATTTCATATCTTTGGGAGTTTGCTTGCTATCTGCTTACTCTGAACAAGTTACTTCCATGTAAATTTCCATAGCCTGTCTTCTATTCTCAAACATCTTAAATTGGGTTTTTTGTAGGCAAATAGCCCACCCATTTTTCAAATCTCTACTTCCCAGAAAAACAAAATGTATCATGTCTACTTTTGAAGCAGTTTTTGAGACATGGAGGTTGGTTGTATTTGCTTAGACTTGCTATTTGATGTGGTAAGTATTTGCTGTCTGTAAAGGAATTGTTGTTTTAAAACTAGTAAGTCTCTAAAAAACAGAATGCATTCCAATTTTTGTGATGGATAGAATCCAGTTGTTGGAAAGAACCATACGTATGATGTTGTCAGAGTATCATGTGGCTGTAATAGCTTTACAGCTCTATAACAAGTTTATTTTTAAAGAAAATTTGTTTTATAAGATGTGTTATAATAATATCTACTATATCATCTGTTCTTCAGCTGTTTTATTTTTAAAAATGTACTTGATATGTCTCCAAATATTTCTGTGGTTTTCAAAAAAATTATTGTCTGGTTTCATACGGACGATAAAACTAAAACAATGATATAGTTCGAAGGAATGCAGTGGCTTTTAAAGCCACCATGTTTAACATTTTTGAGGTTTGAAATCCAAAGTATTTTAGCCTTGGCAACATTGAATGATTTCATATAATAAAAGCTTAAAATAAGATTAGAATTTGACAATATTTATGTTTTAAAGTTAGCAATATAGTTTATATAAATAATGAAAACTGTATAGAAAAAGTTTGTCTATCCACTTTTGTTGTTGAAGATTTAATGGGATTGCTGTTATTACAGCTCTCATTGAATCAGAAAAAGAATTATAACACAGCAACTCTTCTTCCTCGAACTTCAGATTATCCAAGTGAATTAGAAACAAATGAATTTCGTAATGAACCAGAAAAAATGCATATCAAAAATAAAAATAATAAGGATTTCATTAAAAAGAACATCAAGGTAAGCTTTAACACATAAAATGATTAACATTTTGTTAAATGTTAACTAAAAATATTGTGTAAATATTTCTGGAATGAGTTTTTTGTTTGTCTGGTTTTTTTACTTTTTTTTTGCCTTTTTTGTGTGTTTTTTGTTTTTTTGTTTTTGTTTGGTTTTTAATCAGGAACATTAAAAGCTAAGTAGGCATAAATGAAAAAATCTTGCTGTTAAAAAATGGTGTTTATGGCAGAGTATTGTATAAGGTAGTTCTGATCTTGGATGCTCATGTTGGTAGGGATAATACTGCTTCTATGTATTTTCTAAAGAGTACTGGAACCTGAATTGTTCTGTTTGTGCCTGGACATAGCTAGTTTTGAGGACAAATATTTCTTAAGACTTTCTTTAAATGTATTTACTACGAAGTTAAAGGAGGGTGTTCCTAAGCATAGATAAGGAATAGGTATGCAGGTTGCTAATGTATATCCTGCATGGGACCATTATTTACAGAAGAGTTCTTTCTGTCAGAAAACAGATGCCTTGATTTTCATGCTTTTTTTTTTCCCCTGTGATGATCTAGTAGCTGTGATGATTTTTCATCTAGTGAAAAATATTTGCCCTGCTGCTACATCAAAAACTACTATAAGATTTTCAGCTTTTATGTAGGCTTCTAGATTTTTCTGTCAGAGTGATAATTTTTATTATGGCAATAAGCACGATTTGGATGTTAATTTTGCAGAGTTTAAACACTTTGTTTTGGTGCTGTCTGAGCTAATGGAATTCTAAAGTTTGTTTTTTCTTTTTGTAAATATTTCAGCTAGCAAAGGATTTGGGAAACCACTTTAAGCTTAAGGAAGAAAGAAAAAGGCTAATTGAACTACTGAAAGATACAGAAGATGGAATTGAATTGCAGGGTCTTGAGGTATGGCAATTTGTACTGTCCTGCTTTATTTGGCTTACTTTTATGGTAAATCTAAATTTTATTTTGTTTTAGTCCTACCTTGAAGTAAATTACTGAGATATGAGAGAAAAGCTGGACAATCCAATTGCTCTTTGTCTTCAAGAATGAGTTTTCATTGGCTTTGATAATTTTACTAACACTTGGACATGCTTGGCCTCAGAAAAAAAAGCAGAACCCAAAAGTTAGACAAGGGTGGAAGGAGCTTCAGAAGGACACTTAGTGAAAAACATGACCTGTTTTCTCTGCATAAAATGTGAAGTTGCGGCCTATGAGACTGGCTAGTGCTGTAGTTTCAGATAAAGCGTCAGCTACCACTTCAGAAAACTCTTCAGGGTAAAAAAGTGTTTGATTGTCCCACCAATTACTGCTTCTAGGAGAGTCTTGCCTCAAAATGATACCCAGTGATGTGAAGACATCAAATAGTCTTTTGATCTTGTAGTTACTAGGAGGTGCTCTTTATCTCTTACTACTTTGAGGGGAATGTCACAGTGAAGGAGTGTTTGGGGCTCTGTGTTTCACAGAAGTAATCATAAGGCTGCCAGGGTGGGAAGATAAAATTTGCGTAGTAAAATGAATCATACTAGGAACTTAGAGTACTTTTCAACTATATATAGTATTAAACATGCCAAAGTTATGTGTTTTCGTAGAATGAACATCCTCTAACTGTAAAAGCTTGATATAACACTTCAAGAAACCTGCATTTTAATAAACAAGAAGAAATACTGGGGAAAATGCTTGCTTTGTGTAAAGAAATAGCATCCTTTCTGATTTGTTTTACATTTAAATCTACATTATGTTAAGTCACTAGTAATGCTATGAGCTTTTCCACGACATTTGTAGGTATACCCTGAATCACAGTGCCTAAGAAGATAGATGTGAACTCTATGTAGAATGAACAAAATATATCCAAAGTCTAGTTTCTATTTAATTTATATAGCCAAAGTGATCTGGAGTAAAGTATTTTTCAGTAGGTTAAATAACAACTTATGTGTGAAAGAAAGAAACAAAAGCACATGCAATTTATTTTTTTTTTTATTGCCTTTTCCCATATTTTATTTTTAGTTATTTTCTAATAAGGTGATGAAGACATCCAAGAGGTGATGCTCTGCACCACTGTTTGTTAAAATGTGTCTAAAATCCATCTCTATAAATTACCGTTTCAGATATGGGGTAAGGATGTGAGCTCAGGATTTTCTTCATCTGAATGGAAACGGAGAACTAATCTACCCATGGTTCACAACTGTCCTGGGTTCAGCTACAGCAGTCATTTTTCTTCCTTCTTAGTAGCTGGCGCAGTGCTGTGGTTTTGACTTTCAGCCTGGGAACAACGCTGATAACACCAATGTTTTCAGTTGGTGCTAAGTAATGTTTACTCTGACCAAGGACTTCCTCAGTCTCATGCTCTGCCAGGGAGGAGGGAAAGCCGGGAGGAAGCAGAGACAGGACACACGACCCAAACTGGCCAAAGGGCTATTCCATACCACAGCACATCATGCCCAGTATAGAAACTGGGGGGAGTTACCCGGAAGGCCCAGATCACTGCTCGGGTCAGGCTGGGTATCGGTCGGTGGGTGGTGAGCGGTTGTGTCCTTTTCCCTTGTTATTCCTCTTATCATTATTACTGGTAGCAGTAGTGGTTTGCATTATACCTTAGTTACTGGACTGCTGTTATCTCAACCCATGGGAGTTACATTCCTCTGATTCTCCTCCCCATTCCTCGGGGAATGGGGGGAGGAAGTAGGAGGGTGGGGAGCGAGCGAGCGGCTGTGTGGTTCCGAGTTGCCGGCTGGGCTTGAATCACAACAACAACAACAACATTAAACAAATCCGTAATTTACCCAACTTCAGTGTGATTTCTAGGATGATACTCATTTAGTTTGTAGTCCAAAACTTTTCTCTTTACGCTAGGGAAACTAGTAAATATACACTGTGTTTTGGCATTTTCAAGAAGGGGAAGGTGGAAGACCCGGGAAACTACAGACCACTCAGTCTCACCTCTGTGCCAGGCAAAATCTTGGAGCAGATTCTCTTGGAAAGAATGCTGAGGAACATGAAAAACAGCGAGGTGGTTGGTGACAGCCAGCATGGTTTCACTAAGGGGAAATCCTGCCTGACCAATTTGGTGGCCTTCTCTGATGGGGCTACTGATGGACAGCAGCAGAGCAGTGTACATCATCTACATGGACTTGTGCAAAGCATTCGACACTGTCCCACACGACATCCTTGTCTCTAAATTAGAGAGACATCCATTTGATGGATGGACCACTCAGTGGATAAAGAACTGGTTGGATGGCCGCATACAGAGTTGTGGCCAACGGTTCAATGTCCACATGGAGACCAGTAACGAGTGGTGTCCCTCAGGGATCGGTGTTGGGACCTGTGTTGTTCAATATCTTTGTCGGTGACATGGACAATGGAATTGAGTGCGCCCTCAGCAAGTTTGCCGACGACACCAAGCTGTGTGGCTCGGTTGATACGCTGGAGGGAAGGGATGCCATCCAGAGGGACCTGGACACGCTTGTGAGGTGGGCTGATGCCAACCTCATGAAGTTTAACCAAGACAAGTGCAAGGTCCTACACCTGGGTCAGCACAACCCCAGGCACAGCTACAGGCTGGACAGAGAAGAGATTCAGAGCAGCCTGAGGAGAAGGACTTCCGGGGGGTGGTTGATGAGAAACTCGACATGAGCAGGCTTCAGTGTGCGCTTGCAGCCCAGAAAGCCAACCGTATCCTGGGCTGCATCAAAAGAAGCGTGACCAGCAGGTCAAAGGAGGTGATCCTGCTCCTCTACTCTGCTCTCGTGAGACCTCACTTGGAGTATTGTGTCCAGTTCTGG